CCACCACCACCACCACCACCACCGTGCTCGTCGTCGTCACCGGCATCACCGCGTCGTCATCATCATCATCATCATCATCATCATCATCATCGTCGTCGCAGCAGTAGGAACAAAGAAAATCGAAGTTGCTTATGCTATGCTGTAGAAGTAGCAACCTGGGCGTGTACGAACCACAGTGGCGCAAAGCTTCAAAACTGAATCCAAAATCCAGGGACGCATTGCCGAAACCCTGAAAATTGAGTGTCGAGGGCGATGGGGGCAGGGACGGGGGCCAGGCATGGCCAGGCTGGGTGGGTCTTGATGGGAGTCGGCATGCTTGTTGTCGTGTTCTTGTTTCAGGGAGGCGGGGGAAGCGCAGGATCCGTGTACATACGCCATGCTTATATTCAAAAATATAGAGGTTCTGCCAAGAACTGTGCAGCTAATAGCTCTGGACGTTCTGGTACAACAGACCTTACACTCTGAAACAAGATCCATGCAAGCCAGCTCCTCTCCAAAGTGGCCAGTGCCTAGGACGGAATCACTTCACTGCATAGGGGTCCTTGAACCCAGGAGAGGGTGGGGGTTTAGGGCTTATAGGGTTTTAGCGGGGTTTAGGCTTAGGGTTAATAAATCAGGATTTAAGATCTGGGCTGTTCTACGTAGAACAGTCACAGTCCTACGCAAACCGTGGTGATGCAGTGCAGCCTTCTGATAGAATGTTGCACGGGCCTTTTCTGCGTTTGCGACCTTGAGCACGTGGAGACGCAGAGGCCATGACCATCTGCGAAGCTCTTCTACGAAGCCCTTCTGCAGCGCACCTTAATCCCAACAAAACATACCCGTTTAGGGCTCCTTCTGATGATCCCACTTGGAAGATTTACAAAAGGAGCCTAAACAGATTATATGATAAATGAAATAAGGAACCCCAAGGAACACGAACTCTAAACATTCAGATTCCGACTCCGAAATCACACCTTTAAACCCTTCTTTGAAGAAAACTAGGCCTCAGGCTCCAGTGACTTAGTGGTTAGAGGTCTGGGGGCTTTGGGCTTTTGGGATTTGAATGTTGGGGTTTAGGGTTTAGTGCTTCAGGGTTTCCGGGAAAAACCGCAATTTGCCTTTTCCATAGGACCCTGTTTTGCGTAAAGGCACAGAGAAGTAGAATTTACAAATTGCAGCACCTCCGCCTCAAAACCTGCATCTCGAATGTAGAGGCCTTAATCATTAGAATAATTCTGGGGCCCATTATGCTATAATGATAAAAAGGGGCACCTGCAAAATAATATGGGGGGTTCCGAAAATAGGGGACCCTAATCTAGTACCCTAAATAATAGGTTCCTTATTATAAGGACCCCAAAATAAGGTACCCTAATTTTTGGAAACTCCCATATAGGAATTTATTTAGGCCCCTACATTACACCGACTCTGCACCCAAAGGCCCCAGGTCCGGCCCACAAAAAGCCCCACGCCGTAAGCATCAAAGCCCAAGTATCCAGATCTGGTTTAGGTTAGGGTTTTGGGGGTTTAGGGCTTAGGTTTTGTTTTTAGGGGTTTAGGGGTTTAGGCTTTAGGATCCCGACAACCCCCCTCCAGCCCTAAACTCCCCAAACTCAAACCCAAAACCCTGTAACGTATGGGGCCTTAATAACTAGGCTAGGGTTTTGGGGCCCATTATACCATATTTAAAACAAGGAACCCCAACAAATAATATAGGTAATTCTTTAGGCTCCGATATTACCCTGACACCTCGGATCCGAATTCCCGACGCCTTCCACAAGCACCAGCAGCAGCCCGAGTTGCAGGTCCGCCAATACTGGAACGAGAGCTTACCTCGACCCAGAACCCAGAGACTCCAATACCCCTTTTAATTAAGGAATATACCTTAAATTATAATTGGATCCTACGAAATTTTAAGGTATATACCTTAAATTATAGTAGGATCCCTAATAGGATTTAAAGTAGGTTCCCTTAGTTAAGGGGTATTGGAGTCTCTGAAGAAGCGGAGCTCGCTTTCTCTTCAGGGAGCGGGGGTTCTGGGAGTTAAGGGGTCTCATTACTGGGCTAGAGAGCTTTGGGATTAGGTTGAGGGTTTAGGGTTTAGGGTTTAGAGCTTGGGGTTTAGGGTTTAGGGTTAGGGGTTTAGGGGTTTAGGGGTTAGGGGTTTTGAGGCAAGTCGGGGCCTTGTTCTGGGGTTTAGGGCCTAGTTTAGGATGTCAAAGGCCATATACCCGATGTAAGGGCCCGGCATCGAGTCTCTAAACGAGTTCTGAAAGGAGCCGCTTCAGAGGAGTCCTAAAAGGGAGCCTTTACAAGAGCCCTTCAGTAACTTTGTTTGGGCTAAGGCTTGGTCTGCGCCAATCTCTCACCATTGTTGGGACTTCTGTTGTGCTATGCCAGTTCTCTAAGACTGTGTCCTTTTGTGGGTCCTTGCCAACTGGGCCGTGCAACCTGTCAAAGGCTCAGAAGGCGACCATGATTTCGAGAACAGCTCAAATTACGTTCTGTTGGGCTGCTCTTTCCCTGTGCCCAGCAATGTGTTCACAATCCCACACTGGCTTCTCCCGAAATGTGCGAGCCATATGATATGCCTTATGGGTCTGAACCGGGCTAGAACCCCAAACCTGTCACCACAACAGGCTTCTGTCAGGCGGGGCACAATGGGAGAAAGAGCCCGGCAGCACCGCCTCAACCACCTTCTCGCGTTGTCGGGAGGCGCTGTATGGGGTTTGGGATTTAGGTGGGCGTTTTGTGTTGTAGTTTTTGTGAGGTTTTTACATGAGGCTTGTCTCAAAGGTTATTTTTGTTGAAAGTTCGGCTTTTGTTTCTCATGCGGGTAGCATCTCGGAGGTCACTGCTGGGCGACTCTGTTATGGCTGCAGCCACTAGGGTCTCGGGTTTTTTGTAGTCACAATAAATCGCATCTTCAGGTGGGGAGTGCTGCGAATTTGGATCTATCTAACGGTTCGGACTACGAGTAAAAGCTACTATGAAACTAGGTACCCTGATTCAGAACATTCCTCGGATGTGACAAAACGACAGACAAAGACCCGTAATTCTGCACGAAGATGTGGATGGGTCTTCACAACAGTTGGATGTGCTTCCTCTCCCTCAACCTTCAACCATGCCCTCCTGGGCTGCGGGCCGAAGGTTCACAACTTCTCATCCCATCTGCGTCCGAACCCTTAGCACCAAGCCCTGCAAGACGTAGAAGTTGCTTCTCGTATGGGAGTTTCCGAAAATAGGGGGCCCTAATATAGTACCCTAAATAGTAGGACCCTTATTATAAGGACCCCCAAATAAGGTACCCCTAATTTTTGGAAACTCCCATATAGTAATCATGCACGGCTTGGATCCCCCCCTACCTTCAAGTGATCTGCGATGGCTTCCGCCGAGCCCTCCTGCAACCAATAAGGCAAAAGACACCGGGTGGAGGTCTTCGGCACTCAGAAGCCATACATACCAACTCCCAGTAGCAGTGGAAATGGTGATCGTGGTTGTGCGAAGTTGCTCCGGCCGAGGAATTTAAGATTTCAGTAATAGGTCCTTCGCCGATGTACGGCCACTACAAGGGGTACTAACTAGAAGGGTTCTTACAAGTGTTTCGATATGGGCTTAGCTGGCTATCCCCATTTGGTGGCGGGCACGCCTTCCAAGGGTATCAGGCCTAAGCAACAAGAATAGGGTTTCCAGGAGCACATCATAGCATATTTTGTTTTTTTGAAAAGAACACTAAATAATGATATTGGTAACCGTTTAGGCTTCTAAAGAACATTTTGGGGAATGTCTTCCGTCTCAAAAAGCCGGAGCAGGGGGTTTCGGGTTTAGGCTTTACAAACTCTGACCACTGGGATCTCTAAGATGCTGCACTTGCTTAAACCCTAAACCCTAAACCCTAAACCCTAAACCCGAAACCCTAGACCCACAAGTAGGGTTTGCTTGCGTAGCGCCAGGCTTCTGGAGAGTTTGGGAGCCGAGGCCTGCGGTGTAATATGGGGGCCTAACAAAAAAGAATAGGTTTTAGGGTTTAGGGTTTAGGGTTTAGGGTTCAGGGTTTAGGGGCCTAACAAAACAGAATAGGTTTGGGTTCCCTTTAAAGGGGTTCCTTATAAAGGGTTCTGTCAGGGCTACTGCAAGGGTTGAGGGTTTAGGGGCCTTCATAATTGGGGTACATTGGTGTTGGTAATTATGTAGGCCCCTATACTGCGGCCGCGGTTGAGGGTCCGTCGGGCAGCTTCGGTAAGCCCTGAAGCCGCAAATCCCGGCTCTTCAAGCTGCAGAAACATCTCCTCCTGAGCCCTTAGGTTGTAGAGTGCGGTGTAACCGGCGCAGACCTTCGCTAAGCTGAGACTGGGGTTCTGGGCTTCGGATTTCGGGGTTGGGCTTGGGTGTTGCGATCTTCCTGGCTTGCGGGTTTGGTAATTTGGGAGTTTCCGAAAATTAGGGGTACCTTATTTTGGGGTATATTAGGGTCCCCTATTTCCTATTATTTGGGGTACTATATTAGGGTCCCCCATTTTCAGAAACCTCCATTTGGGGCTTAGGGAACTCGCTGTAACGTATGGGGACGGAAACTCAGCACCACAACCACAGCTGCCTTGTATCCCTGTGTCAAGCGAGCCCTGCAGTCGGGACAAGGAGAGTGTGTGCAAACGTTTTTTGCGAGCAAGGACGTAAGACTTAACGAACATGTAAAGACCACCTTGGCACAAGAAATCCTGAACACCAAACCCCGGTGAAAACTTGGAGGCTCTTAAAGCAAGACGAGGTGAGCAATTCGTGAACAAAAGGCTCCGAAACGTCCAGAGTCAACAGTATCGGGATTAAGTTTAAGTCACGAGTTGCCACGTCTGCCTCCGACAAAACTTGAATGCAAGTTTATGAATCACTTGGTGGGTTTGCCCCTGGATGACCCTTTGCAGGATCCATGTACGGCAATGTACTGCTCTTGATGGACAAAATCCTGCATGACCTCATATGCATAAACTATGGGAATTATGGTACTATATTATACTTGGGTCATGCAGAATTTTGTCCATCAGCAGTGCCAGGCCAAGTTGCTGCTCGAACTCTTTTCACGCCCGGACTTCCCAAGGATGCAGCGACAGAATCTTCCTGACGCGTCGAGGGTTTGGGAACCAGGGACAATCATCTTTCGTGGTGCTTCTGGTGCTTAATGGTGCCAAGAAATAAAATTATGCATGCATGCATACAAATATATATATATATATACACACACGCATAAATACATACATACATACATACATACATACATACATACATACATACATACACATGCACCATGCATATACGGGGTCTTTCTCATAACTCAGGGATCCTGATGTAAGTTCCGTGACACTACAGCATGTGACGTACCCTTATGAGACCAACCGTTTCATATCATTTTACAAGTGTGTACGATTAGAACATTGGAGGTGGCCCAAAATCTTGGGGGCTCCTTATCCAAGGCGTCTTTGTACAACTACCAGTACTTAAAAAATGAGGCATACTTACTTTTGAACCCTGAAAGCCCTAGTCTGAAACCCAAATAGTCGCTGCCCGAGATGCCAACGCGCGAAGTGCCACCTGCAAAGGCGCAGCACCCGGGGGCGCTGCCGCCAGGGGACTCCTCGTTCTAACTAAGCTTGGAGCCATGGGCCCCGAGTTTTTGGACTTAACCCTGGGATCTTTGCATGCCTACTAATACTATATACCCTATTTGAACCCTCAGCAGCCCAGGGGTCCGCTTTAGGAGCCCATACTACTAACCTTAATTGCTTTTCACATTCATAAATTAATAAGGACCCTACTATTTGGTGTTTAGGGAATGGAATAATACATCATTCAGGGTTGAGGGTCTGCGGTGCCTCGTTTAGGAATCCTTACAATCAGGATCTTACAGTCTGGGATCTATGTTTGGACCCCTTCCTTAAGAAACCCTATCCCTAAGGGTCCATGTACTCAAATAGCATACACTTTGGCATTAATGTAGTACCTATATAGGTACTTTAGGGCCAACGTATATACTGTTTAAGTACATGGACCCTTAGGGTATGAGAAGGATCCTACTGAGGGTTGGACCCGTTTTAGCAGAAGGCTTCGAGGTTTCATGTCGGGCTGTTGGTTTTGACAGCTCTGCGGGTAATGGGCATCTTTATTGCAGGGGCTTCAATATTTCGGACGAGGGTGTTCGATATAGTATATTGGGCCTGCTAATCAGAATAGGGTTGTGGGGAAAATTATGCCACGTTTGTCGTAGGAAACTTTAGGGAAGAGCATTGCTATACATTCCATTTTTTTCAGGCACTCAATCAGTCAGGAGTCAGTTCTGGCACAAACTGGAGCATACGCACCCTGAGAAGTGGTTCGTAAAAAACACTGACATTTCCACGTGAGGGCTTTAGGCTTTTGATATGGGGCTATGGATGGGGATCCGTGGCTGGCTTTGAGTATCCGGCCACGTCTGAAGTCGTTCCAGAGAGTGTCTACAACTGCGGGTCCTTGCTGCGATCTGTCCTACAGAAACTTGTACATTCTTCTCGTCGTAAGTGCTGTCAGTCTAGACTACTGGCTGCTGCTTCTCCGGTCTATTGTGGGGGAGAGCGTTTCTCGCGACATTGCGGAGGTCAAACTTTTGCATCCGAATCTTCGCTCCCATTGGCATCGTCAGGTGTGGTCCGCAAAATTACCATCAGGCTCGTCCTCGTCGTTGAAACCCACGACACATTGATTTCTTGTCAGAAGCAGCAGCAAAAGCACCAGCAGCAATGACTGGTGACTAGTATGCAAAGGGCAAACCAACAAACAAACATTAACAACCAACGTCACATTCTGCAGATCCCTGATGCCAGCTAAGGTACCTGAGTTGGTTCATCAGGATCGAGATCGCTCGAAACTTGCCTTTGTCAGGGAACACTGCCAGTTTCAAGATGTTCCAAGGTCTTTCTCAACTCCACACATCTGTTCTGCATTCCAGGGCTTCTGGGCTGGGGCTGCGCAAAGTGACGATTTCAGAGCGTCTCCGACAAGTATGCTTTCCTGTTACGGTTGCTTGAGGATTAGGGCCATCCGGTCTAGGGACAGGGCCTGCAGAAAGAAATGAAGCGTCTTGGATAGCTCTAGGTCGAAGGAAATTACCTTATGGTTATGTTCCTTCAAGTACGATAGAGGATTGTAATGAGGGATCCGCTCCTATTGCTCGTCGAGCGAAGCCATCAAGTATGTTCGTGGTTTGAGGACGGTCGGATGTAATTGTGATTTAGGTTCAGGGATTCGAAGAAACCCAAGAGTAAGATCGAACGAAGTATCCTTTTTCACGCAGCTCCAGCAGACAGCATGGAACACCAGCAGAACCCCTGTAGCAGTTCGCGCAGGTCTCGAAAGTTCGTATGCGCAAAACCGTTGATTACATCCTAGGGACATCCACAGCACCCAGAAACCAACCAGCAGACGAGCAGCCTCAAAGGTGGGGAAGAATCTGGTAGTCACATACCGCCACTCCCCCAAACTTACCCCCCCCCCCCGCCTATTTCATCCCCGTACGGACAAGCAATGTTGAGTCGGGGCGCTTTCATCAATGCTCTTCTCATCCTCGCATCTCGGGCACTCGCAGACGAAGCCCCTGAGATACGAAGCGCAGGCCATACAAGGGGCCGAAGGTCTAAGTTAGAGTTGTCTTGACCCGAAATAAGGACTCCTAAGCCCTCTGAAGGGTTTCAGGGTTTCAGGTTTGGGGTCTATACCCTCCGGAATGAAGAAGCTGCTCCTCTTCGGGGCCTTGCCCGATGCAAGCTGCGTCAAAGTCCTCATTGCCCGGGCCCTGGTCTAGAGAACGTAGACCCTGGACCCTGAGCCCCAGGGTTGTATTGCAACTCTCCGCGGCTCAGACTGTAGAACCCTAAACCCTAAACCGTGTAGTCCCTAAATCGCGACGGTCATGGGCAGTGGACCCTCTCTGAGCTCAAAGCCTGCGCAGAGAAGCGAAATTTGCAATGAGGTCTGCATAAACCCTGGAACCGTCTCTACCACAAGTCGAACTTAATCAGCCACCAGGTCTTAAAGTTTGCTCACCGCAAAAAGTTTCCCAAAACGAATTGCAGGCAAGGCGCCAACTCTGGCAAAGCTTCTGCCTCTCAGCCAAGGGCTTCAACACCTAGGCACCGGTTTCAGACTTTTGGACTACACAGCACCCTAAAGCGCAAGCCTTCTTCCAGAGGAAACAGGAACCGTAAGCCGCCAAAAACAATGATCGAAAGCCTTTCAGGGATGCTTCCTGGCATCCCTGTGTGCGACTAGTGTTGTCTTAGTGCAGAGTGTGAAGGAAAGCCTCGTGCATCTTGAAAGGCTCGAGTGCATCTTTATTTGCTCTGTTCCTGGTTTGGCAGATTTGACGAAGATTCACCTCGGGCTTATGTCGCGCATGCCGTTTGAGTAATACCTCGCCAACATGCGACGTCCGAGACAATTTACATTAAACCGCTTCAGCCGCTTCAGGGACTCCTCAAGAACCCTTGACGAGATCCAAAGCCAACGACATGAGCTCACCGTTTCAAAGCCCGAGTGATTAGAAGGTGGCTCTGGGGATATCATTGCATTATAATACTAACACTATGTAGTGGCGACAAGGGCTTAATATAGGAATCGAATATGTATATCTGTATGTCTGTCTGTCTGCCTGTCTGGCTGGCTGGCTGTCTGTCTATACATATAACGTTAATGCTATGACTATCAGTATCAACAAAAAGTCAATAAATCAATAAGTTGGTAAAACACTGACATAACAAACAAAGATACATATAGATGGACAGATGCAAGCAGGCAGGTAAGCAGGCAGGCGGACAAACAGAAACAGACAGATCGATCGAGAAATGGATATAGCCTATATCGAAAATTTGTATAGGGTTTAGGGTTTAGGGGTTTAGGGTTTAGGGTCCGAGTAGTTCAACTCCAAGCCCCAGCCAGGAAGACCCGGGAAGCAGAGCTTCCGGCATCGAAGTAGTTGATGCAAACTTCTTCGCCTTAAGGCTGCTGCGAGATCTTCGGGGCTCATAAACAATGACATTGTGAGCGCTGCTCATGGGGTTTGTGAGTAACGTAAGGGTCTCTTGGGCAAACTTGGAAGATCTGTCGTTCTTGGGGCGGGCTGACAGAAAACGATTGCTGCAATGATCAGTCCGGACTGGTTTTTTCGAATAATCTTGGCAACTCCAATCCGGAAAAGTCGGAAGGATGGGCTCTTCGGGTTCTCAGTGGAGCCTCATTCCGAATAGCTCAAAACTCGAAGCGTAAGAAGTGAACCCTGAGCACTAGACTTACTTTGAACCGCACATCCTTGATCTAGGGTGCTCTTGGGGATTTAGAAAAAAATGAACCCACAGGCTCCCAACTAAAGCCGTGAACTCCAACAGTCCTGTCGGGATACAAGGCGCCCTTGCATCCACATGTGTGAAGCCTGGACACCCTGGGAGATCACACGTCGGGCCCGTAGGAGAAGTGCCTCGCAGGGTGAAATTTTTTGCTCCCCAAGTCCCCTTTTACGGGGGCCTTCTAAGGGTAGCTAAAGGCTTGGATGGGGCCTAGCGAGTAGTTCGGAGGGGGTCTAAGTAAACCCCAAAACCTAATAAACCCAAACCGCCTGAACCAAAATACATTCAGGGCTTCGGGTTTGAAGTTCGCCGGCAGGGCGTGACCGTTCCGGTGGTTGAACTAACAGATTTTAAATAGATTAGCCCCTCTAGCGGCGCCGAACAAACGCTTTTGTTTGTGTTCCTCTGAATTTGACGACACAAACAACCACCTGAGAGGTAACCTCCGTGTCGCACCGTAAGATGCTACCCTCAGCCCGAAAGCCTGGAAAGCACACCGAATTCTAAAGTTGGCTTCGAGGTCTGGCAAACTTTTCATCAGAGACCTTGGCTCCAGGCGGTTTTCGCACACCGACCTCGGAATATACATCCTCCAGTTCTAAACCCGCAGCCCCACACCCTGAGCCTCAAGCCCACCCTCGATCCCAAGTTGCTATAAACACAGCCTGAAGCACCGCCATTAATGACCATAACTGTCCTTCTTGTCCTGGTCAAAGCTGCAACCCCCAAGCCTGAAACCCTGCACTCAAAGGCCTGCACCCCAAGACCCCTAATCCCGAAGCCTCAAGGACGACAAAAAGGGGCAGCCTCTCCGCATTTCAGCACCAGGGCGTTAGGGAGGCAGCTGTGGTTTGCCATGGACCTGGGGCTACGAAGGAGGCCGGTTCGTTGAGGTCGGGGCTCTTGGATTTTTCGGCTGAGCAGAAACCGAAAGCCGTTACGGTTTCTCAGAGCTTTTCCGGGCTTTTGGGGGATGTAGGTGTTGCAGGTTTAGAGGTGTTCGGTTTACGGGCCTTTTCTGGGACAGCTCCTAGCCGAGTGAAGGGCCTTATCATAGAATACTTACTGCTTTCCTTGTATAGTGTATGATAGTATCATTGTTGAAGTCTATTCAGGAACCTCAAGGAATGCTGCGTGATTTAAAGGGCTCCTAAGGTGCCGATGTGACCCCCGATGTCAGCTACGGCGCCTGGGAGGGCTTGGCCTTGACTTCGGGATCTCACCCCCATCCTCCCTCCCGCGTACGCCCTGTCAATCCGTACTGTGTAGTACACCGTACTTGGAGGGTCGGAGGACCTAGTAACTAGTTATTTTGTAGAGTTATAAGTATCATAACCCCAATGTAGCTCACCTGTGAACATCTTTAAACAAAACAAGTCTGCATAGGATGCTCTGCACCTTGCCTGACAACAGGGCTGCAGTCCTTGAAACCTTCGGCTGGAAGTCAAAGGAATGGGAACATACTCGGCCCCAGGCACAGCAGGAAAGATGCCTCAGCATGCATGCGGACGGTGCATGTCGCTGGAGCCGTGGTGTTTCATTAGGGCCCTGTAGATGCGCACGACATTAAACAAAGCCCAGCGAAGCATTAGCAGACAATGGCAATACAAATCGAAGTGGTGGTAGTGAGCGGCAGCAGGGGCATTAGGGGGAGTGGAGATTGAATTGGTCAAGCAGCCGTGGTAGTAGTAGTCATGGTCGTCGGCATCATATTTGTGTATGCAGTCGCAATCGTCGGAGACGCAGGCATCCTTGTCGTCGTAGACGCAATCGCGGCCGTAGTCGGTGGTAGGTGGTGTAGGTGGTGGTGGTGGTGGTGGTGGTGGTGGTGGTGGTGGTGGTGGTGGTACAGCAGTAGGTGGCGGCAGTAGCAGTAGCAGCCATGGTCGGCTGAAGCGATAAATTTGCAAGTAACAACAAAAGCGACGTTGACAACCCTAAATACCCCAAAATAGCTAGCGGCCTGAATATATTGAATAGGCTTTTGGTGATTGATTTCTAAGCTACAGCTAAGCGTTACGGCACCCTTTTCAAAAGGACCCTAAAAGGGACCCTCATTGGTGCCATCTGCTGCCGTCCCGGTAGCTGCTTCCCAGGTCTTTGAAGGCGTTTGTGGCGATCACACCCTGTATGACAGACTCCTGTGAAGAGGCGGGTTAGGAGTTTAGGCCCTAAACCCTATTTTAAGGGTTTAGGGTTTAGGAGTTTAGTCCCTAAACCCTAAACTTTAGGGTTTAGGGGTTTAGGGTTTAGGGTCCCTTTGGCTGCAGTTAGGGGCTCTAATTTCTGGGTTTCGGCACAAGGAACCTTGCCTAAGCCGAGCTGGTGTACGCTTTAAGGTTCTGTGTTCTTGTTAAGAAGTTTAACCTGAGTTAACATAACAAGGATCTATTGTAAATAAAATAATATAATGTAACCTAACCAGGACTTATTTTTCCGGCGGCTGGGTGACCGACGAGGAATCGTTCAGGCTTCCAACCGATTGCTGCCGTCTGACTCCGGAATCCCTATCATCAAGAATGGCCATAAAGAAACTTCTTGAGTTCCGGCAATATCTGCTGCGCCTGCAATGTCCTTGAACTCTACAACGACATCTTTGTGTGTGTACGACTAGAACCGAAAGCAAGTCCTGGAGACCCTAAACCCCAAACCCCTAAAGCCCTAAACCCGGTTTGGGCTAGTCTCGGAGTTTGGAGTCTTAGGGTTTCGGGCCCTTGCGCTTGGGCACCTGGTTCCCCTCTCTTAATCTGAAAAGCTCCGGGCACGAGCGGCTCTCCATGTCACGGCCCAAAGGCCCACCACTTTCGGATCCCTAAAAGAGTATGGCACTTTTGCTATAAACCCCAGGGGGGGTCCTAGACAAGAACTCCACGTGGCTCCAAAGTAGTAGACCCTGAGCAGTCCCCGATTTTTCGACATTCGGCCCTTATTGAGGTACTTTGGTTACCCGCGCTTGTTCGACACTGATCCCTAAGCTGTAAACAGCACCTTGGTCAATCCGTCTTCACAAACCAGTTTACACCAAGAGACACCCTAAACCCTGAACTTTAACCCAAATAACCTACTTTTTAAGGCTCCTTCTCATGATTTCCTTAAAACAGTCATCAACAAACAAAAAGAGTAAGTTAAAAAAAAGGTAGGCTTTACAGGGTCCAGGTAAGCTCTAAGCCTGGCCTCCGGGAGATCAGAGGCCGTAGCTTCCGCGGCGTGCCAGAGAAGCTTACTCCTCAGGGCATGGGTTCGCCTTGGGTACTGTCCCCCATACGGTAACAGTCTATAATGGGGGTTTAGGGTTTAGGGTCTGTGGGGCTACTATTAAGGGCCTCCGTATAACAAAGTTAAGAATATCTTTCAACGGCTCACCAAACATGCTTGAGGGCGTAGGGGTACGACGAGGGATGCCAAAAGGGTTCCCCGAAACCCTCTAAGGAACCCTTTAAGAACCAGAATACGGATTCAAGGGTTAAGTAAGCTTGAAGACTCAGGGTTCAGGGATCCCGTCAAACCCTGAAGATAATATAGGCGCCCTCCGGCATCCGAATAACTTAGTACTGATAATGCCCACTTAGAGTCCCTACATACATCCGGTATACTATATCCCACACCTCTATTCAATGATTCATGTCCCGATATTGGACCGTGACAAAACCCTCAAAACCCTGGTAACTCTAAAACACAATCCCTATACCCTCGTACCCTGAACCCTAAACCGTGAACTCCCTACACCTTAACCCTGGTAACCCTAAGCCTGAAACCCAAAACCCCAAACTCCAAACCCAAAAACCCTAAACCCTTAACCCTGGTAACCCTAAGCCTTCAACCTGAAACCCCAAAACCAAAACCCCAAAACCCTAAGCCGTCCCAGACGCAGAGCCGATGCGGGTCGCGGGGATCCGTCGGAGAGGATCTTGCCAAGGAGCCGGGCCACCTATAGTAGAAGCCCAAAAGTTGGAAACCCAATAGCCTCAATCCCTAAGAGTAATGTATAGGGAATCCCAGCACTGTGTGTCCTTAATCCGGTTTCCAACTTTTTGGGGTTTACTATACTATTGTTGAAGATGGGGGAGGGTGGACCTTAGCAGCCAGACTAGCTTTAGGGTTCACAATACCGCTTTACCCTGATGCCTTGCTACTCAGAACAGGGCTTCAGGGTACTATGGTTGTTCATGTTATTGTTATTAGTGTTATGACAATTATAGTATTAGTATGATTGGAAGATGCATACAGACATACATTACATTACATTACATTACATTACATTACATTACATTACGTTACATTACATCACATTACATTACATTAAATTACATTACATTACATTACATTACATTACATAAAACTACATTACATTACATTGC